GAATTCAATACATGTAGAGGTGAACTAACATGAGATAATTGACAGCTGACATCCATTAAAAACATGGCACGTGGAACTAGAACAGTCTACCCCAGCGAGCGAAATAAAGGGTTCAGTTCGACATTCCAACCATCTGAAGAAGATCAGAGCGTACATCGGCCGAAACTTTGTGATAAATATGGCAATAAAGATGAGGACAATAGTCCTAATAATGTAAATAGTAAACTATAGATTTCTGAAAATTAGAGAAGTTAGAAAATCTATTGCTACAAACGAGATGTCACTAACTCTACTGGCAGAGATTTTCTCGTTATTTATAGATTATGCTCCAAATGGACTCCGTTCTGCTAAAGACACATTTGAATTCTACGAATGAAGTTCTCAATGACTTTGATGCACACTTCTTTTGGTATAGCTCTGATTTCTTGACTGTTTGCTGCCTTTGGCTCTGAGACTGTGTGTGGGGGGTTGTTCCTGTAGACTCGATCCTGTAGATACTTCCACAGATAATATATATATATATATATATATATATATATATATATATATATATATATCGGGGGGGGTTGAGATCGGGGGAATGCAGAGACCAGTCAGCTTCACGTTTACGGGTGACTTTTGCTGTATGAGGGGTAGCCCCATCTTGCTGGTATCATTGGTGCCCCACCTGAACCCTGGTTGCACCTCTGCCACGGCTCATGGGAGGTTTTCGTGAGGCCAAAGACCTTCTACGGATGGATATCTTCGGATGCCTGCTTACTGAATCTCGAAGAGCTACTATGTTTTCAGGAATTCTTACAGCAGGTATTCCATCAACTTTGATTGATGGAGACTTTTTTCTCATCTTGTTGATTGTCCCTGTAAGTCCAAACCTCTTTATCTATTATTAAATGCCAGTTTTGTTAGGTTTTTACTGTAGAAATTCATTACAAGTGATTTTCTATAGTAATTCATCACAAATAAGTTACTATAAAAAATACATTGCTAATGATTTGCTATAGTAATACATTACAAAGGATTTACTATAGGAACACATTACAAATGTTTTACTATAGATATACATTACAAACAATTTACTATACATATACATTGTAAATGATTTGCTATAGTAATACATAACAAATGATATGCTATATAAATACATAAATGATTTACTATAGATATACATTACAAATGATTTACTATAGAATTACATCACAAATGTTTTACTATAGAATTACATTACAAATGATTTACTATAGATATACATTACAAATAATTTACTATAGATATACATTACAAATGATTTACTATAGATATACATTACAAATGATTTACTATAGAATTACATTACAAATGATTTACTATAGATATACATTACAAATGATTTACTATAGAATTACATTACAAATGATTTACTATAGATATACATTACAAATAATTTACTATAGAATTATATTACAAATAATTTACTATATATATACATTGTAAATGATTAGCTATAGTAATACATTACAAATGATTTGCTATATAAATACATTACAAATGATTTACTACAGAAATACGTTGATAATGATTTTACTATATATATATATATATATATATATATATATATATATATATATATACTAGCAGCATGGCCCGGCGTTGCCCGTGCTTGATTTAAAAATCGTACGACTCATATAGCAATCGCTATCACTTGACTTAAAATATTTTTGACCTTCCTTGCCTTTAAAGGAGTGCCCTTTGCCGTGCTGATGTTGCTACATGTCTTACTTCTTGCCTATCTCACACTGCGATTTTTTTCTAAGCTCTATACTAAACATTAAATCTGTTACGAAAAAAGAACTAAACAAAATGACCACAAAACGATCAGCTTTAAAAAAGGACTCGTAACTGGAAAAACCGAATGAAAAAAGAATGTTAACAACAAATGCTTTTTCGCACCCAACCCAGTTCTCCGGAATCAGAATCAACGTTGAGTTTAAGCAAGCGAATGAGCCAATTGGAGTAAAGTGCCATGCAGATTTAAATTTTTCCCACTTGTGACGAATGCAGCTATCGATTTCTTTTTGCATGCTAGCATGCTAGTTAACATTCGTGTCAGTCAGCTGTTGGCTCTCACGCTGGCCAATAGAATCTTCCTGCCTATTCGTGGCAGCCAGCTATTGGCTCTCACTCTGGCCAGTACAAAATGGCCGCAAACTACTTGAAAACTGCCGTAGAAGCATGACAAATCGATTATTTCCACTATCGATGCGAGTTGGGAAATGCAAAGTCGGTGTTGGCCTTCCCGCTAACTTTGAGCATGTGCATGAAAATTTGGGTGCAAATCCGTCGAAAATTGCGGCCGTACATTCGTTACACGCACACACGCATCCTGCCTTTTTTATATATATATATATATATATATATATATATATATATATATACAAATGATTAGGTATAGTAATTCATTATAAATGAGTTACTATATAAATATTTTGCTTATGATTTGCTGTAGATTTAATTACGAATGATTCGCTATAGTAACATATGAAATGATTTTCTGTATAAATACATTACAAATGATTTTCTGTATAAATACATTACAAATGATTTTCTGTATAAATACATTACAAATGATTTACTATGGAAGTACATTACAAATGATTTTCTATAGAAATATATCACAAATGATTGCTACAGAAATACATTGCTAACGTTTTGCTATAAAAATGCATTGTTAATGATTTTCTATAGAAATACATTACAAATGCTTTGCTATGGAAATACATTACAAATGATTTACTATGGAAATATATATTGCTAAAGAAATACATTACAAATGAGTTGCTCTATAAATAAATTACAAATGATTTACTATAGAATTACATTACAAATGATTTAATATCGAAATACATTGCTAATGATTTGCTATAGAAATACATTGCTAATTATTTACTACAACATTGAATTGTTAAGGATTTACTTGAAGGGTAGTGAACATGTATAGATTTATTTCGAGTAATACTTAACAGATATAAACTATGAGTGTAGGTTAGTTAATTGAGTAGTTAACTTAGTAGTTTTTTTTTTTAAATTAGGTCATTGAATTATTTTAGTCGTTAAGTCACTAAAAGGGGAATTTCAAATAAATAGTTAATTTTACAATGGCTGCTTTCCTAAAAGTAAGTTAATGTAAATGGGGGATAGATAAATTTATGCATGCGTATCCAAGCATGTGCACGTAAATTAATTTATATGTGGATGCGTGGGTGTACATGCATGTGTAAGAGGTTTTTTATTTTTTATTTTTTTTGTGTGTGCGTGTGTGTGCGTAATTTCGTTTGTTTAAGCGTATAAGATGAATGTAAACGTAATTAGTAATATTAGATTAGTGAATAAGTTTTTTTTCTTAGAAATGCTTCTATAAGTGTTAAGTTAGACTCATTATTGGCGCTATTATAAGTAGTTACTAGATTTGGGTTGAGTACGCATGTAGGTCTTAGTTAAAGGGTTAATAACTTTATGGGATTAGCAATTTAAAACGTAAGAAACATTTGGATTAATCAATGTAAGAAAGGGACCAGCTTATCGTGTTAGGAATCCAGGGGAAGTAACTCGAATCGAAACCTGATTAAATAAAAAGACCCCAGTATAGGAGCGGAGTGGGGGCACCTTGGGGCGGTGTAATGGTTAGCAAGCTTGTCTCGCTAGAAAAATTACGACTGAGTAGTGAGTTCGATCCTCACTGGGTGCACCATACTTTCGGCCTTGAGACACATCTAAGCTACGCTTGGAAAATCATTCAGTGGGGCACCTCGAGGCGGTGTAATTGTTACCAAGCTTGTCTGGCTTGAACAAATACGACTGAGTAGGGAATTCGATACTCACTACTTTCAGCCTTGTGCCACATCTAAGCTACGCTTGGAAAATCACTATAAGAGGGGAGTGTAAAGAGCCTTTTTTTCATTGACTGATGCTGACGGACGTATTTCAATAAGAACGGTCGGGATGTCTTTCTTTTTATTTATTTATTTTTTCTTTGCAATGTCGAGGTGCGTGGCACGACGCTCTCAATGAGATGGCCTTACTCGTCCGGAGTCAGGTTTGGGGTTGCTGCTTGAGCCGATATGATGCAAACCCGAAAATGCCGATGACTATAGTGCATCACTGAAGTCCGCCTTTGATGCATCTAAACTGTATTATGCAACTGCAAGAGTGGTTGTCTGGACAAACTCCTCACAGCTAAAGAACAGCCTCGCGCCAACAGAAATGTGTTTCTGTAGAAGGATTCCGAAACTGACATGAACTGAACATTTGAGAAACGACGGAGTTTTGAAGAAATAAAAAGAACTTTTCTACATAAAATCGGAAAGCAGCAAAGCAATTGAAATGTCTAAGGCACTTAAAGAGGAAAGAGGACTTTGAAAATTTAACACTCACAGTATATGTTGAAGGCAGAGTTGAAAACAGCGCATGATCAACCTAATGAGCTTGTTTAAATGGTTGAGCGAACATGGATTAGGAGAAATGGCAAAACGACAAAGACAGCTAAGAGGGACAAGAATTGTGGCAAACCATAATCTCAGACGTTCTGAAGGTACACTGCTTACAGAAGAAAAATAGGTGTACATTGTAAATGATTTGTATAGAAATCTTTTACACCTAATTAACATTTGGGATATACTGCAAAACAATGCAGAAGCTATTTACAAATATCTTACAAACTATACTGAAATTTAGTATAAACAGCTATTGCTTGTAATTGTCCCTAAATTTATTTGTTAATATATATTTTAATTGATTTACTATAGTCGTTATTGTAGCCTAGAAAGGGTTACTGAACGGAGGTTGGAAACGAAATGGTAATCTTTATAAGATCAACAAAATACAATACTCGCCAGCGGCGTGAAGTAGGTAAACCACTGCTATTTGTGGACTACATAGACAGCATATTACTTCCACTTACAATAGTGTCCAACGTATTTATGCGTGTTGGGACATACCCATTAGAGTTCATTTGTGCGGTATATAACAATAGATAACGAAGGGAAGGAGATAGATAGATAGATAGATAGATAGATAGATACGAACAGACTGTGATAGATAGATAGATAGATAGATAGATAGATAGATAGATAGATAGATAGATAGATACGAACAGACTGTGATAGATAGATAGATAGATAGATAGATAGATAGATAGATAGATAGATGTTGTAACCTAGAAAGGGTTACTGAATGAGGGATAACCAAAATGGAGGTCTGAAATGAAATGATAACCTTTATAACATCAACAAAATACAATACTCGCCAGCGGCGTGAAATAGGTAAACCACTGCTAATGTTGGACTACTTAGACAGCATATTATCCCCACCACACACACATACTTACAATAGTGTCCAATATATTTATCAGGATTGGGACATACCCATTAGTGTTCATAGGTACGGTATATAACAATAGATAATGAAGAAACTGAGATAGATAGATATATATGTAGATATATAAATAAGACGCGGAGATAGATAGATAGATAGATAGATAGATAGATAGATAGATAGATAGATGTTGTAGCCTAGAAAAGGTGACTGAATGAGGAATAACCAAAACGGAGGTTGGAAATGAAATGGCAACTTTTATAACATCAACAAAATACAATACTCGCCAGCGGCGTGAAGTAGGTAAACCACTGCTAATGTTGGACTACTTAGCATATTGACTCCACTTACAATAATGTCCAACGTGTTTATGTGGATTGGGACATACCCATTAGTGTTCATTGATACGGTATATATCAGTCTTTGCACATTTTATACAGTCGAGGCGCTAGCCCACCAAAGGGCACCTTTTCATTTTTTATTATGATTTTTAATAGGAGTAAATAGATTCACTTATTGCCTGGTTCACTCTCCTTCTCTGTCTTTGATGAACTCTACAACTCCGAAATTTTACTTACTCGTTTTTATTTTTAAATTAATATTTTACTTACCTTTGTTTTTCTTTTGCATAGGAGTAAATATTTTCACCTGCCAGACGGTCCGCACTCCTTCCCCATCTTAGCTTAACTTTAAAATTCTAACGTCTCCCCCACCACAAAAAACGAAATGTTATTTACTAATTTTTAATTTAATATATTACTTATGTTTTTTTAATAGGAATAAATAAGTTTGTCTATCGCAGAGGTTCACGCTTCTTCACCGGCTTAGATAAACTTGACAATTCTAACATCGCCGTCTTAACTCTGAAATTTTTTCTCTTTATTCCCTTACTTATATTTTTCTCTTATTTTAAAAAACATATATCTCTTTTTATCTTTTTTTTTAATAATCGGCGTAGATAGGTTCACCTATCGCCCGGTTCACACACCTTACTTGTGTATCAAACAGGAATAGAGGTTTAGTACTCGTTTCCTTTTCAGGATTGGGTTTCTTGTTCATTCTAAAGTCTTCTTCTCTTTCACCCAGCAGCACACTTGCGTCTAAGTGGCATTATCGCCTTGCTTGGAATGCATTGATTAATAAAAAAAAAAAGAAAAAAAGAAAATAGGTATAAAGATGTTTCTCATAGAATTTCATTACAAGGCATTACTTGCATTACGAATGATTTATTATAGAATTACATTGATGGTTATCTACTATAGAGAATTAGGAATTTGTAATGTATTTCTATAGAAAATCATTTGTAATATATTTCTATAGCAAATTATTTATAATGTATATCAATAGAAACTCATCAGCAATGCATTTCTATAGAAAATCAATTGTAATTTATTTCTATAGATTTACTATAGAAAAGACAGAAAGCGATTTAATATATATATATATATATATATATATATATATACATTGAAAATAATTTAGTATAGAAATTCAATGAAAACGATTTATAGTATAAATACATTGCAAATGTTTTTACAAAGATATATAGCAAAAGATTTGATCTATAAATGAATAGCAACTGATATACTATAGTAAGATTTTTACATTATTTACTAGAGAATTACATTGAAAATTGTTTTTCTAAGTATGCGTTAGAAAAGTATACGTTACAATGCGTTAAACTAATTCATTGAGAATAATTAACTGTTCAAATATATTGTAAACGATTCAACACAGCAAATTCCATTGCCAATTAATTATACACGTGCATTGCAAATGGTTTAATGTAGAAATATACAGCAAATTACATCGGGAATGATTGCTTAAAAACATCAGATTACAAAGCGGTTAATGCGGAAATGAATTGTAACGGATTTATTATCGAAATGCATTGCAAATGATTTACTGTAATGAGAAAGAAAAAAATATATAAATTCTAACGTTCACAGCATTAATTTAAAAGAGGGCTCAATACCAAGAGTAGAGCAATAATTATTTATTAGAATTTTTTTTTCATATAAAGAAAAACAATTTACTCAATACAAACTCCGTTTCGGGGCATTTAAATGCACTTCAACTGATTAGATTTGGTTCTCACCAGTTGAAGTGGAATTAAATGCACCGAAACGAAGTTGCATCTTTGTAGTGAGTAATATTTTTTTGTCTGTATGAAATATATTATATATATATATATATATATATATATATATATAAAAAAAATAGGAAGGAACTGGTTAAGTAAATAATCCAAACTCTCTTAGTATTTTAGCTATTTTTTTTTTAAAATAGTGCTCGATACAAAAGTAGAGCATAAATATAATTATTTATTTAAAAATATGATTCTTATGTCGCGATTTGGAATCATATTTTAAATAAATAATAAAGATATATATATATATATATATATATATATATATATATATATATATATATATATATATATATTAGAAATAGGGGCGTAGTATAAAACTGAAGAATGGTCGTCGCATGTTTGTCAATCTAGAGAATATATCGCAATTTGAAGAACATTCCAACTTATATCTACCACCATTTGAGTATCCCATTTAATCTTGAGGCCAGGCATTACAATGCAGCAAATTTATGCGTCGACTTCTTTGGTCAGATTATACATTCCAATATGTCATTTAGTCAGAAGAATTGCTCCCTGTCGTGTTGCACAGTAAAGATATGTCCGCATTCCTGTGATTTGCAATAAAGAAATCCCTTTGAATCCCAGTGGGCTCAGAGAACATTTCAGCCGTTAGGATTAAGACGATCTTGGCGGGTCTGCAGTTAAACGAAAATTTCTATCATTTTTAGATTCTCACAATGTGGTAAATTATTTTTTTTTCTTATTTACAGTGTGCCCCACAAAAAACAGGGAACTTTGTACAGTTTAGTATTTAACTAGCAGTAGAGCCCGGCGTTGCCCGGGGATGTAACAGTAAGAGATAGATCAAGTATTGACCATCATAAAGACTGAAAATTGAAAAAGATTATTGTTTAAGGTTGACGGACACGCATGTCTTAATTAGTTTTTTTTTTTTTTTTTAACGAATTGGTCAAACCCAAACTCAAAACAAAAACATTGTTTTCAATCGTTATGAGTCTACCGATTGAATAGAATTTTATTATAAACAATTGTTTTGTAAATGGAATTTTAAAAGCATTCTGAATGTAAAAATAAAGAAAAAAGTGTGCAAGACAATAAGAAACACGACCTGCGAAAAAAAAAAAAATGAATTTTTGTTGAAATCGGTTGAAAAATGTAGGAAATCCGATCCCATATATAAACGAACACACACACACACACACACACACACACACACACACACACACACACACACACACACACACACACAAACAAAAAAAACAAAAAACAACCTGGGTTTTATAATAAGTATAACTCAATATGAGTTGCCCCCTTTCATTCTCGCGATGCGTCTTAATCGTGTTTTTAAATTGATTTCGTGCAAAAACAATTGTGTTTTTCCAATTTTTGCCGCTGTCAGAACCACCGCAAGGTAATTTTACGTAGTTCTGTGAAGTTTTGTTGAAATCGGTTGAAAAATGTAGGAAATCCGATCCAATATATAATCGAACAGACACACAACCTGGGTTTTATAATGAAGTATGATTATCGGAATGTTTGTTATCGTTATTTGAAACAAAAACAAAGTATAGAAATTGAGTAGCCTAAAACATATGATAGAAATTTAGAAGGTTAAAAACACAACTGTTAGATGTGGTGTTCAAACTAAAGAACTCTGGCAAAATTTCTTGGCATTTTTTCAGTCCCAAAGTTGAATCATCTTTCTTAAAGAGAACAATCACGTCGCATTAAAGATTTGTAAACTGCAGCATCCTGGAGCAACAAATGGTTAAAAAATTTATATGTTCCTGTTATTTTGTTAGTTCATTCATATAGTAAAATATATAGTTATTCGTTTGTTAATTTTTTCATTATATAATAAATGCAGAATTTCCTGTTTTTTTTTTTTTTTTTTTTTTTTTGGGGGGGCAACCTTTAAATGAATTAAACATCTCTTTAGAGTTTTGAGTTGCAAATGATGAACTATGGAAATGCATTATAAATGATTACATATAGAAATATATTGCAAATCGTTTATTATAATGATCAGTTGCACACAGGTTTAACATAGAAATTTATTATAGTTGATTTACTGTTGAAATCGATTGCAAATGATTTAGTATAGAATTCGCAATCTGTTTGTTAGAGAAATGACTTAAAGAATAAATAAAGAACTATTTTATAAATAATTTTCCGCTTACATGAAGTGGAAAAATTATATGGAATCAATTGCTCGGTCTCCTGATAGGAAAGTTGGTTCAGATTTTCTCGCCAGAATCTATCTTTACATTTTCAAATCTACCATTCATCCATGCTTAGAATATTACTGCCACATAGGACCTGATGCCACTGTTATATATTTAGAGATTCTTGATCAAATTCAAAGAAGAATCAGCAATATTATTGGTCCTGACATGACATCTCGGCTTCAGTTGCTTTGCCATCGCCGTGATTCAGCTTCCCTGTGACTTTTCTATAAATAATTTCATGATAATTGTTCTGATGACCTATCCTCTATTGTATCTTGACTCTTTGAACTTATAGTAAAATGGCCATCAATAAATTTTTATAGCATGATTACAATCGATACAACACTAAAATACATTTTTATACTAAAATTACCAACAATACATTTTTAAAAAAAATTACCAAGCGTAAGTTTTTATCAACTACAGACAATATATTTAAAAAAAAAAAAAAAAAGGCAAACAAACAAAAAAAAATCATAATTTAACGTTGAAAGCATATTATGGACAAAATATCTGTATTTACACTATTTACATTGCTCGGCCTGTTGTTCTCATCTTTATTGACATATTCAAGACATTTCGATCGAAATGGAGAAATTTCGTTTCTTCAGAGGTCAAAAGGGAGACGTTATTGCTGCCATATCTTGTCTGATAATTCTGCTATATATTTAGAGATCCTTGAAAAAAAAATCACAGAAGGATCTGGAATGTCATTAGTCCTGACTTGGGATCTCGGCTAGAATCGTTTTCCCATCGCCGTAGATTTCCTGTGCCGTTTCTATAAATACTTTTATGGTAATTGTTCTGATGGCCTACCCGCTATGGTACCTTGACTCTCTGAATTACAAGATTGGCTGCAAGGTGACATTATTTTACAATCGAAATGGCTAGATGTAACCGTAAGTTCTATGTTAACAGTTCCTTCTATCTTACTTTTCACTTGTGGAGCTCTCTTCCTGCTTCTTGTTTTCCAGTCAAGTTCGATCTTCAAAAAAGTAAAAGAAATGTCAATCGCTATCTGCTGTTCTTTTATTGTCCTTGCTTCTTAATAATGCTTTCCTGATATTATTTCACACACAGTAATTCCTATGCGTGCTAGTGGTTCTGTTGCCTTGTTTGGGGTGAAAATGATTTTAAAAATGGCTTGCAAAAGAATGCAGAACTATTTGACTGACAATGTCTTAGAAAATACATTGAGCAATTAACTTCATTGTAAATTATTATCTCGAAATGATTCCATCTTTGAATCAATTTAAAAAAAAAATTAATACAGATATGCTTTGCAAGTGATATACTATAGGTATACATTATAAAGCGTATGCTATAGTGACATATTTAAATTTATTTACTATAAAAATTCATTGCTATTAATTTATTATTAAAATGCATTACAAGTTCTTTACGATAGTAATCAATTGTAGTAGTTACAATAACTATGAATTACTAAATGCATTACAATTTAAGATAGATATGCTGCATTTCTGGGCGTAGCTTCGATGTGGCACAAATTCAAACGTATGGAGACCCTAGCCAGGATCAAACTCAGTCGTAATTGTTCGAGGGAGACAGGCTTGTTAACAATTACTCCACATCGAGGTACCTACAGTTTACGAGATGTATGGTGATGTTTGTAAGCGTAACTTAGATGTAGCACATGGCGGAAATTTTAGGGCACCCAGTGAGGGTGGAACTCACTGCTCAATCTTTTTCTAGCGAGAAAACCGTGTTAACCATTACAAGTGCCTGCAGTTTACGAGATGTATGAATTGAAAGTGATCTACTATTTAAGTAACCAAAGAAACAGGTCACAAGCAATTCACAACGGTGGGTTTATTATTAAAAATCGCATTTTGTTTTGCACAAACCGAGACGTTAATTAAACTGGAAATATTATCAGCTATAACTGCACAAAGACGGAAATACAAAAAAAAAAAAAAAAAAAAACGTTTTGTCTATCTTAGTATCTACGCAAGACGACCTAACAAAAGAACCGACTACCTGTACGTGATTGATGAAACCTAAACTGTCAGGTTCTTTGGCAAAAACAAAGAACTTCCACAATGGAGAGAATGGCTTCAGTGAGAAAGTTGAAAGAAATTAAACTTGCTTTACTTTTAACGACAAGAAGAAAGCGCGGGAAAATGCGATAGAATATAAAAAACAGTGGGGATTCACAGGATCATGTCGTAATGATTTGTAGACAATAGATTAGCTCCATGTCTGCTAGGCTTCTCGAGTCAAGAACACTAAAACCCGTGAAAATGGTGAAAATTTTTAAAAAATTGCCTAAGATGTTTTTCATGAGCTGTAAAATTTTGCAAATACTTTATTTAATTTTATTTTTAATGCGATATTTCTTGTTATTTTTTAAAAGCATTTTTTTCTCGTGGCTTTATTTCAATTTTATTTAAAAATTTTATCGTGTCTTCCCCGTCGCTTTTCTGCGAGGAGATTTTTATTTTTTATTTCTATTTTTATTTACCATTGTAGCAACGAATTCTTTAGTTACAGAATCTAATGTACGTCGTATTCTTTCTGTTATTTAATATTATTTTGGAAAAAAAATATTTTCGGGGAAAGACGTTAGATTTACTTTGAATTGAAGGATTTTTTTTCTATATTGGTTTATTTCAGGTATAAGTTTCCATTGTTTTTAATCGCTTGTATTTTTTTTTGTATGTGTCGTTGTTGCTGCTTGTTCATCTTTACGTCATTTAATTTTGATTTTTAGAGAACTTATTTGCCATTTAATCATATCTCGTTTCTAATTAATACTGCTCGGCCCATTAGGCATTTTGTTAAACATTTCCCCGTTGGAGTAAGTAAAAATTTTAAGACAAAAAAAGAAGAAAAAAACCTCTTGAGAATATTGCATCGTCACGAGTTAATTTTTAACGGAAAAAAAAAGAAAGAAAAAGACTGTAAAGGTAAATAAATAAAAATAGAAAGAATGAAAGAAAGAAAGAAGAAGAAGAAGAAGAGGAGGAGGAGGAGGAAGAAGTATATTTTAGGAAGAGGAAAAGAAAAAGAAAGATACAATGAGCTAAAGAATGAAGTAAAAAACTGTGATGAGAAAATGTACTTTATATCGAAACAAAAGACATTCAAAAACATAGACAACCATGAGGCATTGATAAAAAGAAAGGAAAGAAAGAAAGAAAGAAAGGAATTTTTTTTCAGAAAAGGAAATAATCAAATGAATAAAAAGGAAGGAAGAAATAAGAACGAAAGATTTTGTAAAAATAATAAGAAAGGAATGTTTTTTTAAAGAGAAAAAATAGAATATTAAGAAAGAAAGAAAGAAAAAAGAAGACGGTAAACTAAATAAAAAAAGAAATAGATAAAGAAGAAGAAGTATATTCTAGTAAAAGGAAAAGAAGGAAAGAAAGAGCAAAAGCATGAAGTAAAAAAGTGAGATGAGAAAATGTCTTTTATACCGAAACAAAAGAATAGAAACGATAAGGCATTGACAAAAAGAAAGGAAGAAAGAAAGAAAACAGATGTTTTTTTAAAAAGGAAACAATCAAATGAATAATTACTAAAAAAAAAAAAGAAATAAGAAATATTTTTTAAAAAAGAAAAACAAACAATTAATAAGAAAGAAAGAAAGCAATAATAAACAAAGAGATTTTTTAAAGAGAAACAAATGAATATTAAGAAAGAAAGACATAAAAAAGACTGTAAAATAAAAAAAGAAAGAAAGAAGAAGAAGAAGAATATTCTAGGAAAAGGAAAAGAATGATAGCGCGAAAGAATAGAATAAAAAAGTGAGATGAGAAAATGTATTTTATACCGAAACAAAAGTATAGAAACGATGAGGCATTGACAAAAAGAAAGGAAGAAAGAAAGAAAAAAGATGTTTTTAAAAAGGAAACAATCAAATGAATAATTAGTAAAAAAAAAAAGAAATAAGAAATATTTTTTTAAAAAAGAAAAACAAACAATTAATAAGAAAGAAAGAAAGCAATAATAAACAAAGAGATTTTTTTAAAGAGAAACAAATGAATATTAAGAAAGAAAGACAGAAAGACATAAAAAAGACTGTAAAATAAAAAAAGAAAGAAAGGAAGAAAGAAGAAGAGGAAGAAGAAGAAGAATATTCTAGGAAAAAGAAAAGAATGATAGCGCAAAAAAATAGAATAAAAAAGTGAGATGAGAAAATGTATTTTATATCGAAACAAAAGACATACAAAAAATAGACTATGATGAATCATATTCAAAAAAGAAAGAAAGAAATTTAATGGAAGAAAAACGTAAAGAAAGTAATCCGCCAGTAAAATAAAATAGAAAAGAAAAATTGAAAGAAAATATATTTAAGAAAAAAAAAACAACGTTTGAAAAGATAAACAACCGAAGGAATGATGAGTAAGAAGAAAAAAGAGAAGAAAGCAATGAAATGTTTTTAAAGAAATAGAGGAAAACAGAGGAATAATAAGAAGGAAAGAAAGTAACTTAAAGGAAGGAAAATTGAAAGAAATTAATTTACTAGTTAAATATAAAAGAAAAAGGGAAAAGAAAATATATTTAAGAAAGAAAAAGAGAATTTTTCAAAAGAAAAAGAAAAAGAATCGAAGGAATAAGAAAGAAAGAAAAAAAAGAAAGGAAACAGAAAGAAAAAAGAAAAAGACTTTAAAAAGAAAAGTAGAGGAAACAAAGAAAGAAAGAAAGAAAGAAAGAAAGAAAGAAAGAAGAAGAAGAAGAAGAAGAAGAAAAGGAGGAGGATGAGAAGAAGAAGAAGAAAAGAAGGAGGAGGAGACGGAAGAAGAAGAAGAAGAAGAAGAAGAAGAAGAAGAAGAAAAAGAAGAAGAAGCAGTATATTCTAGGAAAAGGAAAAGAATGAAAGAAAGAGCAAACAAATGAAATAAAAATTGAGATGAGAATATGTGCTTTTTATCGCAACGAAATGATACAAAAACATAGACAACGATGAGGCATTGTCAATAAATAAATAAATAATGAAAGAAAGAAAGAAAGAAAGGAAAAAAGAATGATTCAAACGAAAAAGACGAAAAATCGAAGGAATGAGAAAGAAAGAAAAAGACAGAAAAAAGAAAGTATTTTTTAAAAGATAAACAAACACATGAATAATAAAACAGAAAGAGAAAAAAGATTTAAAAAAGAGAAACAAACAAATAAATAAGGAAGAAAGAAAGAAAGAAAGAAAGCAATAAAAAAGAAAGAAATGTTTTTTTAAGAAACAAACAAATGCATAAAAAAAAAAAAAAGAAAGAAAGAATGAAAAATTATTTAAAGAAGTGAAGTACAACAGAAGAATGTCTGACTACTAAATAAAAAAGAGATCAAAAAAAAAAAAAAAAAAGAAGAAAAGAAAGCGAACAAATAATTATAGAAAAATAAGGAAGAATTAAAAGTTAAGAAAACGTGAAAAAAGAGAAACTGAGGTAAAAATTCACCCGAGAAAAGAAAAAAAGAAAAAAAAAATATTTCAAAAATAAATTAGACAATGCACGAAGAAAGAATGAAAATAAGAAAGAATGAATAAATGAAGGAATAAAAAAAAAATGAATGAAACAAAAAAAGAATATATATAATGATGGAAAGTCAGAATGAAAGAATGAATGAATGAAATTAAGAATGAATGAAAGAAAGAAAGAATGAATTAAAAAAGAATGAATGTATGAATGAATGAAAGAAAAAAGAAAGAAGGAATAAATGAAAGAAAGAAAGATTGAAATAAAGAAAGAAAGCAAGCAAGGATGGAAGAAGAAAAAATGAATGAATGAAAGAAAAAAAATAAAAATAAAAAAGAACGAAGGAATGAATGAATGAAAGAAAGAAGGCTGAAAAAAGAAGGGAAGAAGTAATGAAAGAAAGAAAGAATGAAATAAAGAATGAACGAAAGGAAGGAAGGAAGGAAGGAAGGAAGGAAGGAAGGAAGGAAGAAGCTGCTCAAAGTAGTTGAAGGCAAAATAATGAATGAAAAAATTGAAAAAAAAATCAAAAAAAAAAAATAAAAAAAAAGAAAAAAAAAAAAAAAAAAAATTGGGGGAACAAAATGGAATATTCGATACACGATGAACAGATATTTTAGAAGTACCAAATATCATATCGGAAAGAAAGAAAGAAAGAAAGAAAGAAAGAAAGAAAGAAAGAAAAAGAAAAAAATTAAAGAAAGACAAATGAATAGAGAGAGAAAAGAGAGAAAGAGAAGGGAAAATCGAGAAAAAAAGAGAGAAAAAGAAAAAAAGACAGAGGAAGAAAGGAAGAAAAGAGAGAGATAGAAGGAGAAAGAGAGATATAAAGAAATGCAGGGAAAGAACGAACGAAAGAACGATGGGAAAAAAAGAAGAGATGAGATTTTTGAAAGGATTGACTAAATGACGAGAAAAAATCGTCGAAAGGAGAAATAAACAGTAAAAAAAAAAAAAAAGATTAAATGAGCAGAAAAATCCTGTCAAAATTAGTGACACGTATCAAGCGTAGACCTTACGTTTGCATCTATGGAAAGGGATTGAAGCTGAGATGCCATTTTCAGGATTGACAACAAAATTGAATTTTAAAAGGATCATTAAATACATTTTTTTTTTTTCAAATGTGGAAAACAAAAAAAATATAGAATGAATGAAATAAAATAATAATAATAAGATACATTCTGAAGATAAAAAATAAAAAGAAACGACACAATGGACCGACGTAAAATAAATAAAAAAAGTAATTGATTCAATATATTTTTTTCAATTTCATGCAAGCGGAGAAAGCCTTAGCCTGTGAAAGTCTAATGTGTCGCTCCCCACGAGGTTAGCATCAGCCATGTATCTAAAGTAATCCCACCAAATGATCGTATTTTGTTCCTGTTCTTAAATGATTCGAGAAAGAAGACAGACGAGAATTTCACAAGCGAGAAGTGCGAGGGAAGAAACTGCTACCATTGAACTTACGATTGTATTCTAGAATGCAAAGAATAAAAGTAAAATAGGCACCTCCACGAAATCGCTAAAAAATCAACATACCATGATGAAAAATGCACTAAACGTAATGAAAACAGTTTTATCAGCAAAATCTTTGTTATAATTAAGAAGAAAAATCAAAGTATTATTTAATTTAATTAATTTTTTTACTCCTTTTTAGAAAATTAGAAATTTTGATGAAAAAAAAATTTTTCAATAAAAAAATATTATTTTTTAGAATAGCAAATTTTTATTTAAATTTGACACACATTAATTTGGAAATTCTTGCAAAAATCAAATAATTCTCGAATTTTAATAAAATGTTCAGGAATATTCATAAACAGAGGAAATTATTTTTAAAATGTTTTAGAAAATTTTGAAAAAATATTTTTTTTATTTTACAAATGTTTTTTAAAAAATTAATTTATTGAAATTTATAAAAATTCATACAGATAATTTATATAAATTTAAATTTTTTTTTTTTTTTATCTACCAAAAATCTGATATGAATCGAAAAATAAAAAAAAAAACTCAATAACACTAAGAATTTATTTAATTAGAGAAGCTTTAGATTATTTAATTAGAGAAGCCTTTAGTTGCTAACATGAATAACAGATATTAAACATAATATTGTCTGGAGAAAAAAAAATTTTTCGATAAAAATGAATTTTTAAAAGATTTGTTTTCATTTTTTACAAGTTTTACAATCTAAAATTAAATAATTTATAAAGTTTTGAATTTGTTAAAATTCAATTATAAATGATATAATTTTTTGAAAATAGTGTTACTAATAAAAGAACTTTCATAAATTTAATTTTTATTATAGTCTAATTTTATTTTACTATTTTTAAAAGAATTTCGATCAAATTTTTCATATATTTTAAAAAAAATATAAAAAAAAAACCAAATATAAAACAATGGATGTACAAACCGAAATTTTATTTTAAAAAGGTAATTAAAAGTAAAATATTGAAAAAAAAAAAAAAAATAATTAATGAAATTTATCGTCGGCTATACTATATTCAACTATGAACACGTTTTTTGGTCAATTTTTTTCAATAAAATTTTTAATTTGTCAGAAAAACAAGACCCCGTGGTTAGGAAATTTTTCAATAAAACATTTTATTCTATAAGTAATATTTGTTTCAAATAAGATTAATTTAAGAAAAAAATTGCTAATTTTTTGATAAAATAAAATTCAGAAAATATATATTTTATTTTTGCAGGATTTTTAAAACGGAGAATTAAATTTTGCTTACAAATGTCTAAATAAATGGGAGCCTATTCTACTCAATATAATTTCTAAACAAAAATACACTAAATTATTAATTTTACCAGGTATAGTATATTTAATATTTTAGCTTTCATCGAAAGCTAAGTTGAAAACTTCAGGAAAGCTTTTCAGTTTTAAAAATTCATTTTAAAACTTACGTATATACAATTCGTGGAGGTATCTACAGTAAAATAATAAAAATCTAGCTGCCAAATTCCTGCTAGTCTAGATACGAAAAAGGAAAGCTCAAGTGAACAGTTATTCAAACAAATGAAACGCTGTTATGAACAGTTTTTCGCCAATATGAGTCGCCATATTTGGAATGGCATAAGAAATAGCAACCTATGTTTCAAAGTAATTAGGGCATAAGTCCAGTTTTTTTTTTTTTTTTTTTTTCAAAGTGAGGAGACAGTGTATATGCCATGTGAGTGAGGGGAAAAACTGTATTTATGTCTTTCGATCAAGCCCAGACAAAACCTGACACTGACCAATAATTTACCAATCATTTCCCTCCACACCCATCTTCACCGAGAATTCCAGTGCCCAGAGATGCAATGTATGTTGGGTAAATTCCAATGTCATCCGTTCTATGTCCACTCCATCAGCTCTTCTAACGTCGGAAATAATTATTCTTTCATTCTGTCTGTCCACTTCGACTTCACATGGATTAGATTTAGGATATTTCTGGAGAAAAATAGTCTGATATTACACACAAAATGATCCAAAGTTATGAACAGGTGCCAAGTTCCCGTTAGTGACTGCAAATAATAACATCATTTTTTTTCTGTACTTTTACAAGATGGTCGCTTAAACATCATGGTCAAAAACAGAGACCCGCGTTCGATATAAATTTGGTTAGCGTTTTACAGGGTAATTTTCTTCACGTCTTTTGAATTGGTACGCACGGACATTTTTAATAATTCTCATTTTATTAAAAAATTCAGAATGTAGGCAGTCATGGCCGTCCACATCTTCCTGCCTCTTTTAGCTTAGTAAGTTTTGTCTTTTTGTTGGTGGTTTTTTATTCTAAACCCTGCTCTACCATCCACTTGCCCATCAAGTATTTTACGCGCTGATTTCCTTTGTCCTTCTTTCCCTCTATCCGTCCTGTGAGTATCAGATTTTCCAAGCCCTCCTTCCTCAATACGTGTTCCAGGAATTTCAACTATCTCTTCCTCTTGTTAAGTAGAAGTTTAATTTTGTTTCCATTCTCTTTAAAACCTCATCGTTGCTCACATGTTCGGCCCATGGTGTCCTCAGCATATTTTTGTCCAATTCCGTTCCATTGCAATAACCACGTACCATTGGATGGTTTGCTTTTGTTTGCTTTACGGTATATCAACCCATTGGTTCATTTAATGCCGAAATTTATTTTTTCTTTGGAACATTAGTAATTTCTTTCTGAAAGATTGTATTACTGATATGTTTTGTTACAAAAATATATTACAGGTAATTTTATTACGATGAAAATGTATTATCAGGTCATCCCATAAGTTCTGTCCGAATTTTAACTTTTTGTTAAAATGAACGAAATTTAAAGAGTATTTTATAATGTCTAATGGAGCTGAACATTATTTTTATGTTTAGATGCATTTAAACTAATCAAATTTTATTTCAAAGAACAATAAAATTACATTTTGGTTGATTAAAACCCTGCTAACATGGATGTACCCAAGAATCATTTGAGGCACATAATGCTTTATGAGTTCAAGAAAGGAAACTCAGCAGCCGAAGCGGCTAGAAACATTCACTCAGTTTATGGAGAGGAATGTGTGAATGAAAGAACTCGCAGAAGATGGTTTGCAAAATTCAGAGGTGGAGATTTCACCCTTGAAGATGAAGATCGAACCGGACGTCCAGTTGAGTTAGATGAAAAGCTTCTTGAAGCAGTCCTTGAAGAAAATCCTGCTTTATCAGGAATTGGCAGTGGTTCTCAGTTCAAACCATACAACTGTTCATCGTCATCTTCAACAACTTGGAAAAGTTCCTAAACTTGGAAAATGGGTGCCTCATGAATTGTCTGAAAACAACCTCAAATCCTGAGTTGACATCTGCTCTTCTCTCCATTCTCGCCAACTTGTTTCACTTTTTTTTTGGATAGACTTGTGACTGGCGACGAAAAATGGATCTTTTATCGAAATGTTAAGCGTCGTAGACAGTGGCTTGGTAAAGGGAAGGACCCCAGCCACAGCCGAGAAGGAACTTCATGGGAAAAAGGTTCTTCTTTCAATCTGGTGGGATCGCCAAGGAATAATCCACTTTGAATTCTTACCACCTAATGCAACAATTAATCCTCAAATATACTGTCAGCAATTAGAGCGTTTGAACCAAGCTTTGAAGAAAAATACCTGCTCTAGTGAATGTGATGCTTCATCAGGACAATGCGCGACACCACACAGCAAGAATCACGTCACAAAAGATCGAAGAACTTGGTTGGGAGAAAATTCCTCATCCGCCTTATTCTCCCGATCTTGCTCCTTCAGACTACTATTTGTTTCGTAGCTTACAGAATTTGGAAGAAACAGCTTTTTTAACACAGGAAGAGGTTAAAACTGACATTTGTGAGTTCTTCGAATCAAAGCCAAAATTTTTTTACAGTAATGGAATTAGTAAGCTTGTTAATAGATGGAAGGAAGTCATAGATAATCAGGGAAAATACATTGTTGATTGAATCTGTAATTAAATGTAACATTTGGTCAATTGTTTTCTTTATTCAAAATTCGGACAGAACTTATGGAATGACCTCATAGTATTTATACTATATTTTTTATACGTTCATAGTTTTTGGACCCCAGGTTGGGGATTCACTATTTTCCATAACCTTAGAAAACAAAATCCACTAATTTTTGAAGATTTAACTACGTTCCTCAAACCTCTTTTTGTTGTCGGAAGTAGTTTATTGTCATACGCGGGACGCCCAAACATTGGAATGTGGTTTGTTTATAACATTCTGCATAAGAAGGATTTAAGATTTTCGACGCAGACTTTTTTTTTTTTTTCTGATGTTTCATTGCGTTTTCTTTAGATATTTTAATATGAAATGATGTGAAAACCAATTAATCTATATTAATTAGAACCAGATTCTTGTTTTCCACGTCAAATAAATCTTTTTGTTTTAAATCCCCAAAAAAAAAAATTGTCAAAAACAGCTTTAATCTAGGAAGGGTTTTGATTGAGGAATTTCCAAACTTCGTTGAAATGAAATCTAACATTTTCAAAAATGTAATTAAAAAACAATAGAATAATTTTTTCTCCACCTTAATGATTGGATACTTTAGACAAAATTAATCCTTTCACTTAAATTTATTTGAAATAGTGTCCAATATATTTATCAATTGGGACACTTTATTAGTGTTCATAAAATATAACAATAGATAATGAAGAAACTTTTAGATATATATATCTAGATATATAAAGAAAAAGATAAAAGAATAGATCTTAAATAGATAGAATAGATAGATAAAGATTTTTATTAAAAAACAATAAATTACAAATATTCGCCAGCGGATGAAAATAAACAAAAGTTAGTTGGATTTTTAGACATTCCAACCCCACTTACAATAGTGTCTTTGTGAAAAGAAATAGCCCGGTTCATAAAATTAAAATGCGAAGGAATTCTTTTGTTTTTTTATAAATTCCTTTTTTTTGAACAAAAAAAAAAAGTACAATACTGAATTTCAATAATTGCACACACACAATAATGACACACACACACGTAAAATATATTATATTTATATATATATATATTTACTTATATAATTATAGTAAAATTTAAATAAGCCCAGGACATGATATAAATTTTCAAAAAAAATTTTCAACAAAAATTAAAAAAGATTTAATGTTCAATATATAAATTCTATTATTATCTATATATTACTAACAGTTTTTTTTTGAAATATAAATATAACCAGCCAGTTTTTTGGAATTAATTTCTTATAGTATTAAAAATAGAAAATTTTTGGGGCGGAGAAATTTGCAAATTAGCAGGAAATAGTTTGGAGATACAGAATTTTATGAATGCCCTCTATATTACATTCAATAAATAATATAGTTTCATTATGATCTGAAATTTTTTAATATATGAAATAATTTTTTAATATACAAATTTGTAAAAAATAAAAAAAAAAATTTTCAAATTCATTTTAATAAGTTCTTAGTACGTTGGTATATGGATATGAATAAATTTTGCTCAACAGTTTTTCAATCTTGGATTTGGAATCAAACACGAGTTCATTAAATCAAATAAAAAAAAAAATCAAATCATTAGGTAAAAGATTCTGCAAAACCTGATTTAGCCAGATTGTGTTTGGCCGAAACATTAAAAAACCAGTTCAAAATTTTATTATCTTGTCAATGATTGGTTTTTTTTAGAACAACGAAAAAAGAAATTAAAAAAATTGAAAAGAATTTTGTTATTTATAAACATTTTTAATTTAAAATTATTTTAATTTTAACATTGTTTTCCTAACATAGCGTAAAATATATTCTATATTCCTGAGATGAGGTATTAAATTATTTATAATTATACGAATATTGAATCCCGGTATATTTATTAAATTCAATTGTTTATTTAAAAGATTTTCTTATTATACAATATTTACATTATTGAATAATTGTCCTGATCTTTGTCGCCATATTTATTCAATTTCGGCCTTTCATTATTTGTTTATTATGATTTTTAATAACATGTCAACATTATTTCAGGTTATTGTCCTCATCTTTGTCAAAAACAACGTTTCGGCCTTTCAGTATCTAAAATTCTGAGATGGTATATATTTGTACATTATAAATTATTCGAATACAATTGAAATTTTTGTCGAAATATTAAACAAACGTTTCGGCCTTTGGAATGTTTATATTACTGAGAAAGGTATTATTACATTAAGGTTTTAACTATTGTTCATCTTTGTCGCCATGGAAAATTTTTGAGTTTCGGCCATTTCAATTCTGTTTATATTACTGAGTTTATTTCTTTTATTCGAAAAACTTAATTCAAAAAAATTTACTGGAAAGGGAAAAATACAAAAAATTTTAAAGAAATTGACCAATTTTACAAAAATCTGTTTATATTACTAAGATGAAAAATTATTTACATTATTCGAACTATTGTTCATTTTTGTCGCCATATTTAAAACGTTTTCAAGTAAAATTACTGAAATATATTATACATTATTTATTCGATGAATTTTTAATTATAAATCAATATAATTGGCCTTATTTGTTTATTTACTGAGATGATTTATTATATAAATTTCATTATTTAAACTATTGATCTTTGTCGCCATAATAATTCAACGTTTAGGCCTTTAGTTTTATTTTTTGAAGATTA